GTGATGGTGTATGATGGTATGTGATGATGATGGTGTTTGATGGTGATGCTGTAATGTATAGTGCAGTGTGTAGTTGTGCAGTTTGTAGTGTGTAGCAGTGTATTGGATATTAGTGTATAGTTGTGTAGTTTATTTGTTTGTTTGTTTTTCAATCCACTTGTCCTGGTGAGGGTCGCGTTGGCGGCATATTGAGTAGTGTGGTCCAGACCTCACTTTCCCTGGCAACGGATTCTAGCTCTTCCTGGAGAATTCCCAGGCGTTTTCAGGCCAGCTGAACGACATCGTCCCGCCAACTTGTCCTGGGCCTGCCCCGGGGTCTTCACCCTGTGTGACATGCTGCTCAGTAGAGTTCCTGGGGGAGTCTACCGGGGGGGGGGGGGAGGGAGGGGGGATCCTTACCAGGTGCCCTAACCACCTTAACTAGCTCCTCTAGATTTGGAGGAGCAGGGGCTCGACACTGAGGCTCTCCCCGATAACTGAGCTCCTCACCCAATCATGGAGAGTGAGCCCAGCAACACTGCAGAGAAACCTCATTTCGGCCGCTTGTTCCCGCAATCTCATCCTTTCAGTCATTATCCAAAGCTCATGACCACAGGTGAGGGTGGGAACGTAGATCGACCTGTAAACCGAGAGCTGTGTTCGAGAACTCAGCTCCCGCTTCACCACCATGGAACGGTACCAGCGCCCACATCACTGTGGAGGCTGCACCGATCCGCCGATTTCCCACTCCCACTTACCATCGGTCATGAAAGAGACCCCAAGGTACTCCTCCACTAAGGGCAGCTGTTCCCCCCTCACTTGGAGAGCACAATCCACCATCTGTCGGGAATGAACCATGATCTCAGGTTTGGAGGTGTTGATCCCCATCCCAGCCGCTTCACCCTCAGCATCAATCAGTTCAAGTGCACGCTGGAGATCACAGACTGACGAGGCAAAGTGGACAACGTAATCTGCAAAAAAGCAGCGACGTCACCTCCATACCCCCCTCCTGGATATTCTCCATATCTCGGTTGCGCCTTGATATTCTGCCCATGAAAATCACAAACAGTTAGTGGAGAAAAGACGCACCATTGGCAGAGTCTACCACCCACAGTGAACAAATTTGATTTAATACCATGAATGCGGATACACCTCTAACTACTCCTGGCACACAAAAAGGGGCACTGGTACATCGTACTCCCGCAGCACCTCCCACAAGACATTCCAGGGAACACGGTCATATGCCTTCTCCAAGTTTACGAAGCAGAGGTAGACTAGAGAAGCATACTCACATGACCCCTCAAATATCTGTGAGAGAGAAAAGAGCTGTCCATTGTTCCATGACCATGATGGAATCCACATTGTTCCTCCTGAATCTGAGGCTTGACCACTGGGTGTAGCCTCCTCTTCAGTATTCCGGCTAAGGCTTTACCTGGGACACCGAGGAGTGCAATCCCTCTGTAGTTGGAGCACACCCTCTGGTCCCCTTTCTTAAAAATGGGGACCATGACCCCAGTTTCCCAATCCAGAGGTACTGTACCCGTCTTCCATGCACAATTAAAGAGGCGCTTAACCACGACACTTCTACACTGTCCAGTGCTTGAAACAACCCTGCACGATTCTCGTTCACCCCAGCAGGCTTGCCGCTACAAAGGTCCTCAACCGCCGCAGCAACTTCAGCAGCTGTGATGGATCTGACCCCCCCCCAGCTGTGTCCAGGGCTGCCTCCTGTGATAAGGGCATCTCCACCCCGTTGAGGAGCTCCTTAAAGTGTTCCTTCCACCTCTCGACTATCGCCTCAGTTGAGTTCAATGTTACGCCACCCTGACCGAGAACAGCCTGGGCCACGTCCCGTCGACCCCTCCTAAGGCATTGGACGGTTTGCCAGAACAGAACTTTGAGGCTGCATGGCAGTCCCTCTGCAAGGCTTCTCCAAACTCCTCCCGCACCTGAGATTTTGCTTCAGCAACTGCTACTGCTGCTGCCTTCTTGGCAATCCGGTACCTCTCAGTTGAGTTGGGAAACCTTTATCTGAGCACAGCTTGGAAAGCATCCTTCAACTTGACAGCTTTCTTCACCACCGGTGTCCACCAGTGGGTCCAAGGGTTGCCACCATGACAGGCACCAACTGCCTTTAGGCTACAGCTTTCTGTAGCTGCATCCACAATCGAGGTCCTGAACATCATCCACTCGGACTCAATGTCCATGACCTCGCCTGGAGTGTAGGATACATTTTCCTGGAGGTGGAAGTTGAAATCTTTCTGCACTGGGTCTTCCGGCAGACATTCCCAGGTAACCCGGCACTATTCGTTTTGCCCTTCCACGTCTATCTGGTCGGTACCCCAAGCATCGGATCCAATTTCCCACCAGGTGGTGATCAGTTGACAGCTCTGCCCCTCTCTTCACCCTGAGTGTCCGGAACATACGGCCTTAGGTCCGATGATACAACAACAAAGTTAATAATTGACCTTCGGCCCAAGGTGCTCTGGTACCAAAGTACACTTATGAGCATCCTTTTTTGTTCAAACACGGTGTTTGTTATTTACATTCCATGACTAACGCAGAATTCCAATAACATTTCACCATTCGGGTTAAGGTCAGGGAGGCCATTCCTCCTAATCACGCCTCTCCAGGTATCTCCATCATTTCCCACGTGAGCATTGAAGTCACCCAGTAAGACTGTGGAGTCGGTAGGCAGCACTCTGTTGAGCACTGCACCCACCATCTCCAAAAAGGCCAAATACTCTGAACTGATGTTTGGTGCATAAGCACAGACAAAAGTCAGAGGTTTGCTTTCTGAGGCGACCCACTCATCCCCTGGGACAAACTCCAACTGAACGGCACCCAGCCCGGGGCTTGTGAGTATCCCCATACCTGCGCGGGGCCCCTCACCAGAGGTTACTCCGGAATAGGAGAGAGACCACTCCCATCGAGAAGTTTGGTTCCAGCGCCAATGCCGTGCGTGGAGGTGAGAACGACTACGTCTAGTCGGTACCTTTCTACCACCTCCAATCCTTCCCCCTGCCACACACCGGCATCGCATCCGCACCTCACCCTGCATCCCACGGATGGTGGGGCCCACAGGACAACGCCACGTAGCCATTTCGGGCTGGGCCTCACCGGGTTCTGTGGGTCACCCGGCCACCCAGCCGCTTGCCGGAGAACACCACCCCCAGGCCTGGCTCCAGGGGGGTGTCCCAGTGGGGTGTCCCGGTGGGGTGTCCCAGTGGGGTGTCCCGGTGTACCTTGTCTGGGTGACGTTCTCTGATTTTTATATTTCCCAACCAATCATGAAGGGCTATATAGTGAGGTAGTATATAGTAGTGTAGTAGTGTAATGTGTTATAGTGTATGTTCGTATGGTGAGGAGTAGTGTATAATAGTGTGTAGTAGTGTGTCATGTGTAGTACTGTAGTGTATAGTAGGGTGTAGTGGTGTAACGAGTCTCGGAAACTTCTTGCCTTTCTTCTGTATTTATTCGGGCGCAGATAACGTACTCTCATATCTACAGTACTTAGTTGTGACTAGCATACAGTACTGGGCTAGAATAACTACAGATACTTGGGCTAGGACAGCACCCAGCCAATGACCGCATGGAGACAGCGACGGCCCGAAACGACGGCGGCGTAGAACCAGTCCATCCTGATTCCAGGGCGGCCCCGAGCTCTCTCAGCCTCTGCCTTATATTCCCTTCCTGAACTGGCTCAGCCAAACCCGAACATCCCCCCCCATGGTTCCCTCCTGTAATTATCTCTGGTGACCACCTGGCCATGCACTGTCCCTATCCCCTCATTATCTTCACCCACGCACCGTCTCTCTCTTTCTGCACTGTCCCTACAGTAGCGTAGCGTGTAATAGTGTGTCGTAGTGTATGTTGTAGTATATAGTAGTGTAGTATATAAGAGTGTGGATTGTAGTAATATATAGAAGTATAAAGTAGTTTAGAAGTGTATAGTGTCGTAGTAAAGTGTGCAGTATATAGTAGTGTAGTAGTACATATGGAGTGGTCATTGTAATGTAACACGCCATCACTACAACTGCCCTGGTGTAGCGCCAGCCATGGGCCAACAGGGGGCAAAAGCGAGTCCGGCCTGTGCCAGGCAAAGCCGTTAAGCTCGGGAACCCAGAGGGCGGTTAGGAACCGGAGGAACACACCCCAGGCCCCCAGTGGGGGCTGGGGGATTACGCAATAGTCCAGCTCCCTCAAGAAGCTTCTAGAGAGTAGGCGTGGCCAGGGGCGGAGTGACCCTGGCCACCATACATAAGCATTTTTCAAATTTCATTACATTTTTTTAAATTAAAATTTCAAGACCGGCATATACAACAGGGGGAGAGAAGATGACATGACACTTTGATGGATTTTTCTCAGCGTTGTATGTATTTTTTTTGCATTTTGAACGTGAAGGAGAAATTCCCCCCACCCTCCACTGATGACGCGCATGCGTTGCCAGGGGCAACCCCTGTGCAGCTTGAGCGGGGCGGAGAAATATATAAATTAAGAGAAATCGCACAAAAACGCTATTTTAACTATATTAAAGGTGACAGACGTGGAAAAGGAATAGCCTATGCCAAGCACGGGGCTTACGGCGTGGTACCCGGCTAATTCTTTTTCAAAGTAAACCCCACGGTTCACGAGCCAAATCTTTCGCAAGGGCGCTTACGCAGATAGACGGACAGACAGACAGACAAAGAATGACGTTTATAGGTAAGATACTGTGTATATGTGTGTGAGTATGTAGAACTAACCTCTCTGTGCAACCCCCCACACAGAGAAGAAGTCGACCAACTGGTGGAATTTCGGCGCAGGTAAACGATGATGTCATCACACCTCCACGTGATCACTTGTGCGGTGACGCTTGCGATGACGCTGCTTGATCGTGATGCTGTGTGATGGTGATGTTGTGTGATGGTGTATGATAATGGTACTGTAGTGTATAGCGTAGTGTATTGCGTAGTAGTGTAGCGTGTAGTAGTATATAGTAGTATAGTGTGCAGTAGTGATAGTGTACTTTGTAGTAGTGTAGTAGAATATCGTAGTGTAGTATACAGTAGTGTGGTATATACATAATAGTATAGCATATTTATGTATCAGTATGTAGAACTAACCTGTCTGTGCAACTCCTCCACACAGAGAAGAAGTCGACCAACTGGTGGAATTTCTGCGCAGGTAAACGTTGACGTCACCACGCCTCCACGTGATCGCTTGTGTGATGATGCTGCGATGACGCTGTGTGATGGTGATGGTGTATGATGGTGTAGTGTACAGTGTAGTATACAGTAGTGTAGTGATTCGTTTTGTACAGTGGAGTATATTGTATACAGTAGTGTATAGTTTTGTACAGTGTAGTATATAGTAGTGGAGTGTATACAGTAATGTATAGCAGTGTTGTAGTGCATTAGTGTATAGTAGCGGAGTGTGTTATAATAGTGTATAGGGTAGTGTATTTGTAATGACTCTGACGACGATGTAATGAGAGACACTTTATTGGGACACAGCCACAAAGAGTGACCCTAGGCTCTCTGCTTTTGTCTACAATTTGTAACTTCCTCCGAACATCCCCACTCCTCGTGTTCTTCGCTTTTATACTTTATACTCTTCTGGAACTTTCTGGCCCTTATTTTTTCTGTGCGACAATCCCTTCCCCCGATCGATCCTCGTTCAAAACCTTATCCCTTTAACAGTCTGGGTTTCCTGGGAATCACCGTGGAGGCCTCTTTCTACGTTACCAGTGGGACATGCTGCCCAGTAGAGTATATCGTAGTATGGTAGTGTATGTGATCACTTGTATGGTGACGCTGTGTAATGGTGATGGTGTATGATGGTATGTGATGATGATGGTGTTTGATGGTGATGCTGTAATGTATAGTGCAGTGTGTAGTTGTGCAGTTTGTAGTGTGTAGCACTGTAGTGGATATTAGTGTATAGTTGTGTAGTTTATTTGTTTGTTTGTTTTCAATCCACTTGTCCTGGTGAGGGTCGCGGTGGCAGCATATTGAGTAGTGTGGTCCAGACCTCATTTTCCCTGGCAACGGATTCTAGCTCTTCCTGGAGAATTCCCAGGCGTTTTCAGGCCAGCTGAACGACATCGTCTCGCCAACTTGTCCTGGGCCTGCCCCGGGGTCTTCACCCAGTGTGACATGCTGCTCAGTAGGGTTCCTGAGGGAGTCTACCGGGGGGGGGGGGGGAGGGAGGGGGGGGATCCTTACCAGGTGCCCTAACCACCTTAACTAGCTGCTCTAGATTTGGAGGAGCAGGGGATCGACTCTGAGGCTCTCCCCGATAACTGAGCTCCTCACCCAATCATGGAGAGTGAGCCCGGCAACACTGCAGAGAAACCTCATTTCGGCCGCTTGTTCCCGCAATCTCATCCTTTCAGTCATTATCCAAAGCTCATGACCACAGGTGAGGGTGGGAACGTAGATCGACCTGTAAACCGAGAGCTGTGTTCGAGAACTCAGCTGCCGCTTCACCACCATGGAACGGTACAGCGCCCACATCACTGTGGAGGCTGCACCGATCCGCCGATTTCCCACTCCCACTTACCATCGGTCATGAAAGAGACCCCAAGGTACTCCTCCACTAAGGGCAGCTGTTCCCTCCTCACTTGGAGAGCACAATCCACCATCTGTCGGGAATGAACCATGATCTCAGGTTTGGAGGTGTTGATCCCCATCCCAGCCGCTTCACCCTCAGCATCAGTCAGTTCAAGTGCACGCTGGAGATCACAGACTGACGAGGCAAAGTGGACAACGTCATCTGCAAAAAAGCAGCGACGTCACCTCCATACCCCCCTACTGGATACTCTCCATATCTCAGTTGCGCCTTTATATTCTGCCCATGAAAATCACAAACAGTTAGTGGAGACAAGACGCACCATTGGCAGAGTCCACCTCCCACAGTGAACAAATTTGATTCAATACCATGAATGCGGATACAGCTCTAACTACTCCTGGCACACAAAAAGGGGCACTGGTACATCGTACTCCCGCAGCACCTCCCACAAGACATTCCAGGGAACACGGTCATATGCCTTCTCCAAGTTTACGAAGCAGAGGTAGACTAGAGAAGCATACTCACATGACCCCTCAAATATCTGTGAGAGAGAAAAGAGCTGTCCATTGTTCCATGACCATGATGGAATCCACATTGTCCCTACTGAATCTGAGGCTTGACCACTGGGTGTAGCCTCCTCTTCAGTACTCCGGCTAAGGCTTTACCTGGGACACCGAGGAGTGCAATCCCTCTGTAGTTGGAGCACACCCTCTGGTCCCCTTTCTTAAAAATGGGGACCATGACCCCAGTTTCCCAATCCAGAGATACTGTACCCGTCTTCCATGCACAATTAAAGAGGCGCTTAACCACGACACTTCTACACTGTCCAGTGCTTGAAACAACTCTGCACGATTCTCGTCCACCCCAGCAGGCTTGCCGATACAAAGGTCCTCAACCGCCGCAGCAACTTCAGCAGCTGTGATGGATCTGACCCCCCCCCAGCTGTGTCCAGGGCTGCCTCCTGAGATAAGGGCATCTCCACCCCGTTGAGGAGCTCCTTAAAGTGTTCCTTCCACCTCTCGACTATCGCCTCAGTTGAGTTCAATGTTACGCCACCCTGACTGAGAACAGCCTGGGCCACGTCCCGTCGACCCCTCCTAAGGCGTTGGATGGTTTGCCAGAACGGAACTTTGAGAATGCATGGTAGTCCCTCTGCAAGGCTTCTCCAAACTCCTCCCGCACTTGAGATTTGCTTCAGCAACTGCTACTGCTGCTGCCTTCTTGGCGATCCGGTACCTCTCAATTGAGTTGTGAAATATTTATCTGAGCACAGCTTGGAAAGCATCCTTCAACTTGACAGCTTCCTTCACTACCGGTGTCCACCAGTGGGTCCAAGGGTTGCCACCATGACAGGCACCAACTGCCTTTAGGCTACAGCTTTCTGTAGCTGCATCCACAATCGAGGTCCTGAACATCATCCACTCGGACTCAATGTCCATGACCTCGCCTGGAGTGTAGGAACCATTTTCCTGGAGGTGGAAGTTGAAATCTTTCTGCACTGGGTCTTCCGGCAAATATTCCAAGGAAACCCGGCACTCTTCGTTTTGGCCTTCCACGTCTATCTGGTCGGTACCCCAAGCATCGGATCCAATTACCCACCAGGTGGTAATCAGTTGACAGCTCTGCCCCTCTCTTCACCCGAGTGTCCGGAACATACGGCCTTAGGTCCGATGATACAACAACAAAGTTATAAATTGACCTTCGGCCCAAGGTGCTCTGGTAGCAAAGTACACTTATGAGCATCCTTTTTTGTTCAAACACGGTGTTTGTTATTTACATTCCATGACTAGCGCAGAATTCCAATAACATTTCACCATTCGGGTTAAGGTCAGGGAGACCATTCCTCCTAATCACGCCTCTCCAGGTATCTCCATCATTTCCCACGTGAGCATTGAAGTCACCCAGTAAGACTGTGGAGTCGGTAGGCAGCACTCTGTTGAGCACTGCACCCACCATCTCCAAAAAGGCCAAATACTCTGAACTGATGTTTGGTGCATAAGCACAGACAAAAGTCAGAGGTTTGCTTTCTGAAGCGACCCACTCATCCCCTGGGACAAACTCCAACTGAACGGCACCCAGCCCGGGGCTTGTGAGTATCCCCATACCCGCGCGGGGCCCCTGACCAGGGGTTACTCCGGAATAGGAGAGAGACCACTCCCATCGAGAAGTTTGGTTCCAGCGCCAATGCAGTGCGTGGAGGTGAGAACGACTACGTCTAGTCGGTACCTTTATACCACCTCCAATCCTTCCCCCTGCCACACACCGGCATCGCATCCGCACCTCACCCTGCGTCCCGCGGATGGTGGGGCCCACAGGACAACGCCACGTGGCCATTTCGGGCTGGGCCTCACCGGATTCTGTGGGTCACCCGGCCACCCAGCCGCTTGCCTGTGAACACCACCCCCAGGCCTGGCTCCAGGGGGGTGTCCCAGTGGGGTGTCCCGGTGTACCTTGTCTGGGTGACGTTCTCTGATTTTGATATTTCCCAACCAATCATAAAGGGCTATATAGTGTAGTAGTATATAGTATCGTAGTAGTGTAATGTGTTATAGTGTATGTTCGTATAGTGAGGAGTAGTGTATAATAGTGTGTAGTAGTGTGTCATGTGTAGTACTGCAGTGTATAGTAGGGTGTAGTGGTGTAACGAGTCTCGGAAGCTTCTTGTCTTCTTTATGTATTAGGGCGCAGATAACGTACTCTCATATCTACAGTACTCAGTTGTGACTAGCATACAGTACTGGGCTAGAATAACTACAGATACTTGGGCTAGGACAGCACCCAACCAATGACCGCATGGAGACAGCGACGACACGGAACGACGGTGGCGTAGAACCAGTCCATCCTGATTCCAGGGCGGCCCCGAGCTCTCTCAGCCTCTGCCTTATATTCCCTTCCTGAACTGGCTCAGCCAAACCCGAACATCCCCCCCATGGTTCCCTCCTGTAATTATCTCTCGTGACCACCTGGCCATGCACTGTCCCTATCCCCTCATTATCTTCACCCACGCACCGTCTCTCTCTTTCTGCACTGTCCCTACAGTAGCGTAGAGTGTAACAGTGTGTCGTAGTGTATATTGTAGTATATAGTAGTGTAGTATATAATAGTGTAGATTGTAGTAATATATAGAAGTATAAAGTAGTTTAGAAGTGTATAGTGTCGTAGTAAAGTGTGCAGTATATAGTAGTGTAGTAGTACATATGGAGTGGTCATTGTAATGTAACACGCCATCACCACTACTGCCCTGGTGTAGCGCCAGCCATGGGCCAACAGGGGGCAAAAGCGAGTCCGGCCTGTGCCAGGCAAAGCCGTTAAGCTCGGGAACCCAGAGGGCGGTTAGGAACCGGAGGATCACACCCCAGGCCCCCAGTGGGGGCTGGGGGATTACGCAATAGTCCAGCTCCCTCAAGAAGCTTCTAGAGAGTAGGCGTGGCCAGGGGCGGAGTGACCCTGGCCACCATACATAAGCATTTTTCACATTTCATTACATTTTTTTAAAATTTTGTATTAAATTTTTAAGACCCGGCATATACAACAGGGGGAGAGAAGATGACATGACACTTTGATGAATTTTTCTCAGCGTTCTGTGTATTTTTTTTGCATTTTGAACGTGAAGGAGAAATTCCCCCCACCATCCACTGATGACGCGCATGCGTTGCCAGGGGCAACTCCTGTGCAGCTTGAGCGGGGCGGAGAAATATATAAATTAAGAGAAATCGCACAAAAACGCTATTTTAACTATATTAAAGGTGACAGACGTGGAAAAGGAATAGCCTATGCCAAGCACGGGGCTTACGGCGTGGTACCCGGCTAATTCTTTTTAAAAGTAAACCCCACGGTTCACGAGCCAAATCTTTTGCAAGGGCGCTTACGCAGATAGACGGACAGACAGACAGACAAAGAATGACGTTTATAGGTAAGATACTGTGTATATGTGTGTGAGTATGTAGAACTAACCTCTCTGTGCAACCCCCCACACAGAGAAGAAGTCGACTAACTGGTGGAATTTCGGCGCAGGTAAACGATGATGTCACCACACCTCCACGTGATCACTTGTGTGGTGACGCTTGCGATGACGCTGCTTTATCGTGATGCTGTGTGATGGTGATGTTGTGTGATGGTGTATGATAATGGTACTGTAGTGTATAGCGTAGTGTATTGCGTAGTAGTGTAGCGTGTAGTAGTATATAGTAGTATAGTGTGCAGTAGTGTATAGTGTACTTTGTAGTAGTGTAGTAGAATATCATAGTGTAGTATACAGTAGTGTGGTATATACATAATAGTATAGCATATTTATGTATCAGTATGTAGAACTAACCTGTCTGTGCAACTCCTCCACACAGAGAAGGAGTCGACCAACTGGTGGAATTTCTGCGCAGGTAAACGTTGACGTCACCACGCCTCCACGTGATCGCTTGTGTGATGATGCTGCGATGACGCTGTGTGATGGTGATGGTGTATGATGGTGTAGTGTATAGTGTAGTGTATAGTAGTGTAGTGATTAGTTTTGTACAGTGTAGTATAGTGTATACAGTAGTGTTTAGTTTTGTACAGTGTAGTATATAGTAGTGGAGTGTATACAGTAACGTATAGCAGTGTTGTAGTGCATTAGTGTATAGTAGTGGAGTGTTTTATAATAGTGTATAGGGTAGTGTATTTGTAATGACTCTGACGACGATGTAATGAGAGACACTTTATTGGGACACAGCCACAAAGAGTGACCCGAGGCTCTTTGCTTTTGTCTACAGTTTGCAACTTCCTCCGAACTTCCCCACTCCTCGTGCTCTACCCTTTTATACTTTATACTCTTCTGGAACTTTCTGGCCCTTATTTTTCTCCGCGCCAATCCCTTTCCGCGATCGATCCTCGTTCAAAACCTTATCCCTTTACCAGTCTGGGTTTCCTGGGAATCACCGTGGAGGCCTCTTTCTACGTTGCCAGTGGGACATGCTGCCCAGTAGAGTATATCGTAGTATGTTAGTGTATGCGATCACTTGCATGGTGACGCTGTGTAATGGTGATGGTGTATGATGGTATGTGATGATGATGGTGTTTGATGGTGATGCTGTAATGTATAGTGCAGTGTGTAGTTGTGCAGTTTGTAGTGTGTAGCAGTGTAGTGGATATTAGTGTATAGTTGTGTAGTTTATTTGTTTGTTTGTTTTTCAATCCACTTGTCCTGGTGAGGGTCGCATTGGCGGCATATTGAGTAGTGTGGTCCAGACCTCACTTTCCCTGGCAACGGATTCTAGCTCTTCCTGGAGAATTCCTAGGCGTTTTCAGGCCAGCTGAATGACATAGTCACGCCAACTTGTCCTGGGCCTGCCCCGGGGTCTTCACCCAGTGTGACATGCTGATCAGTAGAGTTCCTGGCGGAGTCTACCGGGGGGGGGGGGGGGGGGAGGAAGGGGGGGGGATCCTTACCAGGTGCCCTAACCACCTTAACTAGCTGCTCTAGATTTGGAGGAGCAGGGGCTCGACTCTGAGGCTCTCCCCGATAACTGAACTCCTCACCCAATCATGGAGAGTGAGCCCGGCAGCACTGCAGAGAAACCTCATTTCGGCCGCTTGTTCCCGCAATCTCATCCTTTCAGTCATTATCCAAAGCTCATGACCATAGGTGAGGGTGGGAACGTAGATCGACCTGTAAACCGAGAGCTGTGTTCGAGAACTCAGCTGCCGCTTCACCACCTTGGAACGGTACCAGCGCCCACATCACTGTGGAGGCTGCACCGATCCGCCGATTTCCCACTCCCACTTACCATCGGTCATGAAAGAGACCCCAAGGTACTCCTCCACTAAGGGCAGCTGTTCCCCCCTCACTTGGAGAGCACAATCCACCATCTGTCGGGAATTAACCATGATCTCAGGTTTGGAGGTGTTGATCTCCATCCCAGCCGCTTCACCCTCAGCATCAATCAGTTCAAGTGCACGCTGGAGATCACAGACTGACGAGGCAAAGTGGACAACGTCATCTGCAAAAAAGCAGCGACGTCACCTCCATACCCCCCTCCTAGATACTCTCCATATCTCGGTTGCGCCTTGATATTCTGCCCATGAAAATCACAAACAGTTAGTGGAGACAAGACGCATCATTGGCAGAGTCTACCACCCACAGTGAACAAATTTGATTCAATACCATGAATGCAAATACAGCTCTAACTACTCCTGGCACACAAAAAGGGGCACTGGTACATCGTACTCCAGCAGCACCTCCCACAAGACATTCTGGGGAACACGGTCATATGCCTTCTCCAAGTTTACGAAGCAGAGGTAGACTAGAGAAGCATATTCACATTACCCCTCAAATATCTGTGGGAGAGAAAAGAGCTGTCCATTGTTCCATGACCATGATGGAATCCACATTGTTCCTCCTGAATCTGAGGCTTGACCACTGGGTGTAGCCTCCTCTTCAGTACTCCGGTTAAGGCTTTACCTGGGACACCGAGGAGTGCAATCCCTCCGTAGTTGGAGCACACCCTCTGGTCCCCTTTCTTAAAAATGGGGACCATGACCCCAGTTTCCCAATCCAGAGGTACTGTACCCGTCTTCCATGCACAATTAAAGAGGCGCTTAACCACGACACTTCTATACTGTCCAGCACCAAACTGATGTTTGGTGCATAAGCACAGACAAAAGTCAGAGGTTTGCTTTCTGAGGCGACCCACTCATCCCCTGGGACAAACTCCAACTGAACGGCACCCAGCCCGGGGCTTGTGAGTATCCCCATACCCGCGCGGGGCCCCTGACCAGGGGTTACTCCGGAATAGGAGAGAGACCACTCCCATCGAGAAGTTTGGTTCCAGCGCCAATGCCGTGCGTGGAGGTGAGAACGACTACGTCTAGTCGGCACCTTTCTACCACCTCCAATCCTTCCCCCTGCCACACACCGGCATCGCATCCGCACCTCAACCTGCGTCCCGCAGATGGTGGGGCCCACAGGACAACGCCACGTGGCCATTTCGGGCTGGGCCTCACCGGGTTCTGTGGGTCACCCGGCCACCCAGCCGCTTGCCGGTGAACACCACCCCCAGGCCTGGCTCCAGGGGGGTGTCCCAGTGGGGTGTCCCAGTGTACCTTGTCTGGGTGACGTTCTCTGATTTTTATATTTCCCAACCAATCATAAAGGGCTATATAGTGTAGTAGTATATAGTAGCATAGTAGTGTAATGTGTTATAGTGTATGTTCGTATAGTGAGGAGTAGTGTATAATAGTGTGTAGTAGTGTGTCATGTGTAGTACTGCAGTGTATAGTAGGGTGTAGTGGTGTAACGAGTCTCGGAAGCTTCTTGTCTTCTTTATGTATTAGGGCGCAGATAACGTACTCTCATATCTACAGTACTCAGTTGTGACTAGCATACAGTACTGGGCTAGAATAACTACAGATACTTGGGCTAGGACAGCACCCAACCAATGACCGCATGGAGACATCGACGGCCCGAAACGACGGCGGTGTAGAACCAGTCCATCCCGATTCCAGGGCAGCCCCGAGCTCTCTCAGCCTCTGCCTTATATTCCCTTCCTGAACTGGCTCAGCCAAACCCGAACATCCCCCCCCATGGTTCCCTCCTGTAATTATCTCTGGTGACCACCTGGCCACGCACTGTCCCTATCCCCTCATTATCTTCACCCACGCACCGTCTCTCTCTTTCTGCACTGTCCCTACAGTAGCGTAGCGTGTAATAGTGTGTCGTAGCGTATATTGTAGTATAAAGCAGTGTAGTATATAATAGTGTAGATTGTAGTAATATATAGTAGTATAAAGTAGTTTAGAAGTGTATAGTGTCGTAGTAAAGTGTGCAGTATATAGTAGTGTAGTAGTACATATGGAGTGGTCATTGTAATGTAACACGCCATCACCACTACTGCCCTGGTGTAGCGCCAGCCATGGGCCAACAGGGGGCAAAAGCGAGTCCGGCCTGTGCCAGGCAAAGCCGTTAAGCTCGGGAACCCAGAGGGCGGTTAGGAACCGGAGGAACACACCCCAGGCCACCCAGTGGGGGCTGGGGGATTACGCAATAGTCCAGCTCCCTCAAGAAGCTTCTAGAGAGTAGGCGTGGCCAGGGGCGGAGTGACCCTGGCCACCATACATAAGCATTTTTCAAATTTCCTTACATTTTTTTAAAATTTTGTATTAAATTTTCAAGACCCGGCATATACAACAGGGGGATATAAGATGACATGACACTTTGATGAATTTTTCTTAGCGTTATGTGTATTTTTTTGCATTTTGAACGTGAAGGAGAAATTCGCCCCACCCTCCACTGATGACGCGCATGCATTGCCAGGGGCAACCCCTGTGCAGCTTGAGCAGGGCGGAGAAATATATAAATTAAGAGAAATCGCACAAAAACGCTATTTTAACTATATTAAAGGTGACAGACCTGGAAAAGGAATAGCCTATGCCAAGCATGGGGCTTACGGCGTGGTACCCGGCTAATTCCAGCTCCCTCATGAAGCTTCTAGGGAGTAGGCGTGGCCAGGGGCGGAGTGACCCTGGCCACCATACATAAGCCAGACCTCTGAACGGGTTGGGCCTTCGTCCTCAAGCTGAAGACCCGACGAGCCAGCTTAGAATAGGACCCTGGGAACCCCCAGACCCGACGTCCATCTAAGGGCCGGGACTGAGTGGGCCAGTGGTCGGGACCCGAGGACCTTGGCTGGGTCGGGTCGGGCTCGCCTCCCCTAGGGCCCCTAACTGGAGGACTGAGGATAAGAGTGGTCCTAGTGATATAGAGCACGATAGCCTGGAGGCTGTACCTCCCCAGGTATCGGGTGGAAGGGGCCGTCACCCCTTTGTGTTAGGGACCCTGTACTGGTATTGTTATTAATAAACGTGTTGCCTTCAGTGAAGACTAGGTCTCCATCATTACCACTTGACATATAGTAGTGTAGTGTGTATTAATATATATCAAATTTTGATTTAAAGCTTTCGTGACTGCAGGGATTCATATTCTTTGTTCTTTCGGTAAAGTCACGTAGAAGGGAAACAATAAAATTATAAAAATGTAAAACAATAAAATTCTCACGACGTTTCAACTGCGACACAAGCAATCATCATCAGGTGTTGGAAACTACAGCAAGAAATTTTGAAAAAAGTGGCGTTTTTTTAACATTAGCACCACGGAGAGCGATTTGGCAGTTATTCAGAAGGACAAGTCCATCTATGTTCGGAAAAGAGGAGGGGGGAGACGAAAATAATGAATGCCTTCTGAAAGCCACCATAAGTGTGAACAAATCAGTTAAGAGCCGAAATGGTTTATCAAAGCCTTCCAATGATTGCTAAGCCAGAATCCATCTTCTCGGTTGAAATTGTCTCGGTGTTTGTATATGTGGATAGCCTCATGAATGAATCTCTCATGGTAGCCAGATGGCTTGCAAAGAACCTCTGTTTTGGAGAAGTCAATGTCATGTGAGCCTACTGAATTATAACAGT